AACTCTGCAGTTCCAAGTTCTGCTACCAGATATCACTAGCAGTGGAAAATCACTGAGCGCCTCGCAGTGGTGATAAATGGAAGTAATTCAAGTGCTATCATGATCCATACCATTTATATAGCCTCTGGCAGCCAGAATATAATTAATGGCGAGATGAAACGGGGATAAAAACAGAGATTATAATTAGTCACTTGAAATTAATATTAAAAATGCAACAAAAACACACTCGCCAATTAGCAATACTGCAGCGTGTGTACCAACGACAGGGCTCTTCAACTGTTTTAAACGGGGATAAAAATTAAAATTGTAAGTGATAACGGATTACGTTCAGATATGTTTCTCCGCTATTCTGTCGTCTTTTAGACAGTTCAATTAGGGATTTCAGGAATTTCGCAAACCTGCCTATAAACTTGGACCAATAATTCGGTAAACTGATTAAAACCCGTTTGGGACTGGAATTCGTACCCACAGAATCTGTGCAAATCGGGAAACAAACTTTACATTCCTTTTGTCCAGGTGACTGAGAAATGAAAGAAAATTGTAAGTGATGACGGATTACGTTCAGATATGTTTCTCTCCCCTATTCTGTCGTCTGTGCAAATCAGGAAACAAACTTTACATTTCTTTTGTCCAGGTGACTGAGAAATGAAACGCTGAGGTCCAAAACCTACACAACCTAAGATCATCATTAAACAAGAATCTGACTCTGTTAATTTCAAAATTCTATTAATACCTTTCAACATCATTTTCGGTTTCCCAAATAACCACTATCAAATACATTTCCAAGTTAAAATTCTGAAAGAATTTGTTTCTTTTCCTACCTGTATTATATGTACGATTCATTATAACCTTTTTTATTTGAATACCCTAAAACCAACAGTTGATATATAGTGTATAAATTATTATGTCTCGTTACGCAATTCATTCCAGACTATTTTACTTCACATTTATTTTATTTTCGAATATTCTTTTCTTTCACAGTAACAAAATCCATACTTCACAACCACACAAAACAATTGTTAAAATTATAATACGTCTTATATGAATCTTAATCCATCTAAAAAAAAATTCATAATATACGTCTACGGTATATTTGTCAAATTAAAGCCGAAACGTCTGTCTGAATATCATCTCCATAGTATCTGAGAAAGTCTGTGTAACGTTACAATACTGTAAGGTCTTCAACTCTGATAAAATAAATTAAACTATAGGCTTAACCTTCATTTGCAATGTACTGAGCCATGTAGCATCGTTGAGGATAATAAATGAATCGATCATTCATGATCACTAAAGACAAGACTAATCTTAAGTGATACGCTTTGTTAGTTTAGTTTTAAACTAACAGATCGTTCGGAAAACCCGCGAACGGAGAAATAAGCACACTTGTAAACAATCAGCAATTATTCCGCTATGAGACATAATTGACTGAGTAATTAAAACTATTTGCCACTACCGTACGTACTAAGACACGAACTAAAGATAATTTATAAGATACTTAGAAGTTACCTTTTAATAATCCACTACTACCTGATGTAACAGGTAAAATTTGTCATCAAATGTAATAATAAGAAACTCACTTAAGAGAAATTATCAGGATGCATGCAACAAAGCCGAAATTACTTTTACAACGAAATATTACAAAATACATAAATGAAAAAAATTAGGAAAAAATAATATATTATCGATTCTTTCATTCTAAATATAGGTTCCAAAATTCCAAACATGGCGATGATGCAAAAAATCTGTTGTTTTATACGACAAAAATCAAAAATTTCATATATGGTTTTGAACACAAATTAAAAACAAAAACAAATTGTACCTGTTTATATTTGCATTCAACATATTAATTCTCATGTTCATTCTTTAACAATTAAAAAATACGAACGACACAATTATGTTGATATAAATTCTGTAAAAAAAGAATATTTCTCTTTCAGCAAATATACGTTATAGGCCTACAATCAACCCATCAATAATTTTTTTTTCATTTCATACCGAAATAAAAGTCAAAACAGCTGATAATTCATTTACGAGCCTTTATTTGATTTACTTCTGAATGGCTGTCAGTACTACAAATAAACGTTCCATAAACAATTAGTCAATCACTCAAATTTAATTCAACCTCATACTGAGAAAAACGACGTAAATGATTCCTGTTCTAAATAGTGAGTTGATCTGCCAGCTTACCGATAAAAGGTTAACAAAAATTTAATAGTAATGTCTAAATATAACTTACGTATTTATATAAACTACATAACAACAGACGAATGAGAGACAAGGCGAATTTTTGCAATACATTACACAGTGTTTCCAATTACTTTAATTAATCAATTTCTCTTTCCTCCGTTTGATGACATTTAGTAACAATGTCGATAACACAGATAATAAACATGACAGTCAAAATTTTGTAACACACAGTTTCTTGTTACTCTAATATTTATTTTACCCAAATTTACGTAAATCTACAAAGCAGTTGAAATATGGACGTTATCTGACTGAGATTAAACTTGGGATCACCACTGAAACATAATCTCGCGTTATGGTTTAAAAATAAAGCATAACTACTCTAAAACGTGTAATTCTGTCACTAAATTCATTGCACCAATTTATCTTTAACCTCACATGAACACTGTCATCTTAAGATAACTATCTTCTGGGATGTTGTCGCAGTGTACAGACTGCGTATGAATACAAGATTTAATAACAAGGATAACTTTTCTTTACGAATGCAGTAGGCTAGAAATACGAACACTTAACATTTTTATTATTTAGTGTTCTGTCTGAGGACAGGTCCATATGAACAGGATCCTTCCATCCTTTTCTCGGACTGGGACCTGTTCATATACGTTCTTGGCAGATGATCCAGAAGTGGTTTGCCATTGCCTTCTTCTGTGTGTGAAGGGAGTAATTATGGCATTGTGAGGTTTCGCTTATCACCTTGTACAATTATTTTTATTTATTTAGTGTTCTGTCTGAGGACAGGTCCATATGAACAGGATCCTTCCATCCTTTTCTCGGACTGGGACCTGTTCATATACGTTCTTGGCAGATGATCCAGAAGTGGTTTGCCATTGCCTTCTTCTGTGTGTGACTGGAGTAATTGTTGGGATGCCACGGAGAAACCGGGGAAGCCCCCGGAGGGAAACTCCGTGTTGCCTAGACCACGGCCTTGCCCAACACAAGTTATAAATTCGGGCACCGCCGGGAATCGAACCCGAGACCCCAGGATTAGACCGCGGTTCACTTAACATTGCCAAGAAAAATTACCAACAATAAAATCAAACTAACGACTTTACTGTGCTCACAGTTTCCTTAATGGGAAATAAATTCAAAAAAATTGACGTGTCTGAGAAGCTAACGGTCCTGAGAGTGAGTATACTTGTTTAGCAAAGCAACTATAGTATTAAAAAAAAGGAAAAAAGTTATAACAAATGGACTGCGTCATATTGAAAGTGGATAAAATAATGAAGACCACCAACAAAGAGGAAATGTCTTGAGTTTCAGAATCTACAGGCTGAAAACAAGGCAATAACTCTTTATATATCGATATATCCCTTGTCGACTCGTGTCTCTTTATGTCTTCGAACAATCACTCAACATTTAATCGATTCACTTCTTATAATTTAACCGACTAATCTCATAAATATTCAAAATAAATAAATAATACGATAGATACTACACAAATATACGGCATATCTACGACATTTAAAGCAACAGTTCAGATTTAATGAAGTCTGTATTTTATGACATGTGAAGCCGAAGGCATTAGAGCAAAAGTGGGTTAACCAACAAAACAGAAAATCTGGAATAATAAAAAGCTCACCATCGCCTTTACTTCTATATTAACAAATTGCCTGTCAAGATTGACAGAAAAATATGCAGTATCGTACTCAGAAATTTTAACAAAGCAGTTTATAAAAAAATTAAAACCACAATTTATCTTGGCTTAATAAAGGGATATAATACGATTTAATGAGTGAAACATGTTTTGTTGCGCTGTGTAGAAGGAAATGTACGCAGTAGGACGTGAATGATTGGACTGCCTCTTGTCTCAGTACACTTTCCACGGAGCAGCACATAAAAATTTAAATCAGTTGCACAAACCATAACTTATTTTTGATTTCGTATTATAATTGAATGTAGTAAAATCTCAAATATGATCTTATATCAAGTTTATAATACATAAAAGTAGTAATTTTAAGAAATAAAAATCCCTCAAAACCACACGCACATTCATAAAAAATGTTTAATTTCTTTCCCCCATTTGCAATACAGTGTTTTTAGATCACTGTTGCGCCCAGTATTCAATTACGAATACAAACATGCAGACGAAGAGAGAGTTGCGGTATCAGACCGTAATCTATTCAATTACGAACACAAACATGTAGACGTAGAGAGAGTTGCGGTATCAGACCGTAATTTCCCCTGAGAAAAATTGGCTTATTGGTGATCCCAGTTTTTAGATACTAATCAATGTTTAATAAAAATTTCCTTGGATATTATCCATCGTCTAGTAAATATAAAAAAAACGTAAAAACTACGTTTCGGAGATGCGACTCTATCTCCGTCTTCAGGTTCCTACACAGTTGGGCCCACTAGATAGAGCTAATCCCTATCTCCGGAGATTTACGTTTTATATTTTACTAGACGATGGATAATATCCGAGGAAATTTTTTATTCAATTGACTCTTCACCATCGTCAAAAAGTTTTAGATTTGATAATCAATGTCTGCTTGATATTTTAGTACAACGCGAAATATGTAATACGGTTCTTAACACAGGATTTTTAAACGTTCATACAGAGATTAAACTAAGAATGGCGTGGTTATCAACTCTCTGTTAAGATTATCACGAATTTGTTTACCTGGATAACGAGATTAGTTAATGGATATTCTGCCTTAGCACACTGACATTGGTTGCCATGACAACTAAAAGTGCCATCGGTTTAGACAACGAGCTATTACTTGTAGTAGTAGTACCAGTAATGGTTGAACGGAGGGGAGGGGTGAAGGCTTATCACCAGCAATTCCTCTGTATCCATTTGACACTCCATAAAGAGGAAATAATCTCCAGCCGATAAGATCCCACAGTCAAGCAACCCGAAACAACAGAAGCATCAGGGTTACTGTTAGAGCCAAACTACCATTGAGTTCGCACGAACAAAGTTTGATTTTACGAACACACACGCGTTGTCCGTCAGTCTAATTTTTTAAACCACTACAATACATAAATTAAAACAGTCAAATGTGTTTAATTAAGTAAGTGTGACTTTCAAATAATTTTTTTTAAAAAAAAAACATATTCATTAGCTTGTCAAACCTCTAGAAAATAATCTATAAGACATGAAATTTTATTACCGAAAATTACTTGTTAATCGACGTGTGTCTGGATAGAACGTTGAATTAAAGAAAATCAAGTTATCATCACCACTGATTGTGATTTATAGTGTGTGTATCTGCAGACGCATATTCTCGTCGTGTTTCGTGACATCTGAACTCCGTATATAAATTACTATGTGCTGTCGACCTAAGACGTCATTTCTAATAGACGACATTCTTCAAGATACACCTGGCAAGGCTTCAGAAGGTGAGAGCTCTAGATGGCCAGAAATACCATCGACGACGACATCCTTCTGTCTGAACCAAGGGACGCCACATCACACTTCAGATATGATTCGGATGCCAACATTGTCAGCGACGCGAGGCGTCTATGTGAGTGACGGATTTCCTACGGAGGACAGACTTCGTATTCACGATTATCCACGTCATCACAGCCAACCCCTGATCGACACGCTTATGACTGGAGCCCCTTACAGAGGTATGTAAGCTACACTATTTTTTTTTCAAAACCTCGGAGAGAATGCAATTTTCTAAAAAAAATAAAACCCAGGAACATCAATGTTTTAAATTACAAAGATATGAACACTTTTAATATGATAGGCATATTGCCCCCAACCCGAAGATCGTCTAGATCAGGGGTGGCCAACCCAAATGATCTTTCGGGCCACTTTGGAAATGCATCATAACTCCGCGGGCCACATATAAAATTATATGGATGCACAAATAATGTATTTTTTTAATACATTGGTTTTCACTACTTTGGCCATTATAAAATAAATATATTTTGTAAAAGTGTGATGAATCTCGCGGGCCGGAAAAATGTTCAAGGCGGGCCACATGCGGCCCGCGGTTTGGCCACCCCTGGTCTAGATAATATTTAAATGTTCGATCCGTACCGCGAAGAAAACACAATGACTTCTAAGTCTGGTATTCTGAGTCACATCGTGTAATAACCCCAGGCAAATTATCTTTGCCATGTACTTAACAGAGTCAGATACGCAACTGTTTTAATGAGGAATTAAATGTTTGTATTTGCGCCTACTAGAGAAATATTTCAAGTGTTGTTATCTCTTTTACTCAAATGCCGGAAACAACTTAAATTTTATCACAAGACATCTGCTCGTCGGATAAAATTGACATCGAGACTTTTCATTTGTGTAGTCTAAGACGAAGTTAAGTTGACTGTTTATGTGAACGATTGACAAAAATAACTCCATGCAGCAGAAACAGATACTTCTTGAGAAGCTAATTAATATACATTTTAATATTATCCTTACATCTACACCTAGGTCTCCCAAGTGATCACTTCTTTTCAGATTTTTTTAAATAAATTTTTGTGCGAATTTCTCAATTCCACGTGCCGCCAGACCCCACCATGGCCCCAATTTGCATTTCTTTCTACCAAAGTCACCGCCGTCAGAATTTAATTTACATTTTCTCCGCATCGCACGGACAGCGCTCATTACAGACAAGCGTGTCGGACACTGGTCCTTACAATAAACTCAGATTCCCACCGCAAAAAACCTGTATTAACCTTTCCCATCTTATCAATACGCGTGGTTAAATCCTCAGTAAGATTGTCCTATTTCTGCAAGTGACAAACAGTTCTTAAGAACAATAATCCTACCAGAACATTGTTCAATTTTAATACAGCACTTGAAGCTATTTGGATTGCCGACTTATTCTACGTTTTCCAAAGGACGACTGCCCAGATTATGATAGTCTCGTCTATAAATGGATAAGACGAAACAAGTCGATAGCTGATAACGATACTATCTCCTTTATGGAGCTTACGTGTGGGACGAGAACTTTGGAGTAATTAAGAACACAGCTAATCTTAACCTAACCCTCTGAAATCGAAGGTAGCCAAACTATTATTTTAAGAATTCAGTCCGTACCGCAAAGAAAACACAACACTTCACGGTTACGCGGATCAAATGGTTAACGCTGTTTAAGGAAATAATCGATTTTACACTGAGAACCATACCCATAAATACACTGTATCTGCAAATTGTAGTGTTACTGATTGTTAAAGCAGGTGGTACATATACAGGGTGAGTGGGAAGTAAGTATTCATTGAGAAATGGTTATAACCTCTATATTTCCAATGCAAAGCTATTATTTAGTGTTCTGTCCGGCGACACGTCCATATGAACAGGATCCTTCCATCCTTTTCTCGGACTGGGACCTGTTCATATACGTTCTTGGCAGATGATCCAGAAGTGGTTTGCCATTGCCTTCTTCTGGGTGTGAATGGAGTAATTGTTGGGATGCCACGGAGGAAAACTCCGTGTTGCCTAGACCACGGACTTGCCCAACACAAGTTA